CCCGCCCTGGCCCCGGCGCCCAGCTCAGGCCGCTCCCGCCGCCGCCGCCGCGTCCATTCATGGAGCCCCGTACCCCCCCTACGGAGACCAGCTGGTACCTCCGTACTCGCTTCCGCTTCCGCTGCCGCAGAGCCACACGGGACGCGTAGTCGGTGGAAAGCTGAAGCCGCAAAGGCTTCCACAACATGACCAGGAAGTGATTGTAACGAAAGGAAGCAGGCGAGCCAATCAGGGGTCAGATAGAACCGGGCCGGCCAGGGGCACAGAAGCCCTGCCCCTGGTTTCAGTCTTAGGGGCCGCCTGGCCTATGCTGACCCCTCGCCGGCGGAATGAGGATATTATTACCGACTCCAGGAGGGGGTGCGCATGAGCCTGCCAGGAGCTCGGGAAGTCGCAATACCCAGGCCCCATCTCCCTAACACACACACACGCACACGCACATGCACGCATGCACGCAGAGGAGCTGGGAAGATGCTACTGATGGGGGGTCGAGTGTGGAGCCAGGGCACCCTGGGTGGCCTGGACAGGATGGCAGCAGAGAAAAAAGGACACCATAGGCACAATTAGGTTTTGGCCTTTAGTCTGAAAAAGTGTTGATTGAAAGTGTACAACAGAGAGCGGGTGCAAGCGGCTGGGGGCCATGGAGCCGCCAATAAAAAAGAATGTCTTTAAATAAAGTTCACAGAGTAAAAACCAGAACCGCCAGTCCTTCCCTCCAACACAACAGAGCACAGGCACAGAACCGGTGATGAGCCCCAAGGAGCAAGGAGGAGGCTGGGGAGGACAGCAGAGGCTCCCAGGCTGCTGGGTGGAAGATGAGCCCTCTTTGGAATGGGCAGAGTAAAGCCACCCAGCTCCCCCTGCACACCTTATAACCACTGCTAAGGCTAAAGGAAAAAGACAAAACTCAGTCTTAGGTCCAGAGGGCTCAGAAAACAGTCTAGGTGGGCAGGGGTCTAGGCAACCGCTAGTCCCGCTTGGCCTTCTTCTTGTTGTCACTGTTGCCATTTTCTTCGGCCTCCTCAGTAGAAAGCACCTCCTGCAGTTTCCTCTTGCCACTCTCTGGCTGAAGCTCTGCTGTATTTCGGGGCTTGAAGCAAATGATGATGCACGTCATGTTGTCACACCCTGTACCGTCCCCAGAAGTATCTGGTGCCAAGCACTGATCCAGCAGCTACAAAAGGGATGGGGTAGCTCAGCTTCAGGGTTTGAACACCTTCCTGGGAACCTAAATTCCACAAGAGGGCTGGCCCTGCTGAGATAAGGTGGAGGAAGGAGGGGAATGGGCAACAGGTATCACAAAACAGGCCACTTGCTAGTCCATGAGGCATAAGGATAAGTCAGGGAAATGCGGGAAGGTGGAACTTTCTACCTGGGATTTGGCATCTGTCAGTAATTAATGATACTCCCAGGCTCTGGTCTTAGCTCAGGTCAAAAGAGAAAACCTTGACTGCATAGACCAGACACCTTCTCTCCTCCATCCTGGGACTCACCTCTTCCACGATAGATGATAATAACCGAAGCTCCCCATTTTCATCACGCTGGCTGATCTTTGATTGAATAAAGTCTATAACTTCCTGGCTGCTCATCACATTCCTGGGGTCAAAACAACAGAATCTTCTTTAGTCACACCAAGGCAGAGTATAGGAGTGTAGACAGGGGTGACAGCCCAGGCCAATGCAAACACCTATAGAGACTGTCCTCAGCTCTGCCTTAGGCTTGGGGGTCTTGACACCAAGAGGTCTGCCTAGGCTCTAATCCTAGAGCAGCTTTAGAAAAGGTGCTGAATGCAGCCATTAGAGGGATGATATAGCCAAAAGCAGCCCAAAGCCCTACAAGAGAAGTAATGCTGCAGAAAAAAAGGGAATTTTGCAGAAAAAAAGGGAATTTTAGGGCATTCCGTCGGTGCTCACCAGATGCCATCACAGGCAATGACCATGAATTCGTGGTCATCAGTGAGAGTCAGCACCTTGATGTCAGGAAGGGCTGAAATCATCTGTTCCTCAGGTGGCAAGTTCTTGTTTCTCTTGTAGAAGTGGTCTCCTGAAGTAAAGGAATAGTTGGTTGATGAGTAGTTTGAGCACTTCCCACAGATTTGTGTTTGAGGCTGATCAAGCCTTGCCATTCATTTTCTCTCTTTACAAAGTTCTATAATCTAGTGGAATGGAAAACTGAGTTCTAGTTTTTCTAATTTTAGCCCTGTCTTCAGGTTGTTGAGCCTTAAGGAAGTCGCTAACCTATCTTTTTCATTATCCAAAATGATACCTATCTTACCAATCTCACAGAGATGTTTAAGGACAGAAGTAGTAGATACGAAAGTACTTGGGAAGGTACCATGGCTATGGAGATTAAAGTTTGTTACTGGACAGTCTCAACAGAGAACAAGACCCCAGAAATCTTTCCCACGGTTTCCTGGCCCTTACCAATGGCTCTGGAGAGGTTGAGACCCCCGTTGACTCGCCCATCCATGGTGACCTTGCCACCAGCATTCTTGATGCGTGCTAGCTCCACTTCATCCTCCGGTTTGTGGTCATAGGACATGTCTAGAGCTTTGCCAGCCTCAGACACCACACAGCGAGAGTCTCCTGCATTGGCTACAATCAACTGCTTCCCTCGTATCAGAGCCACCACTGCTGTTGTACCACTGTCAGAGCCAGGCTTAAGAGGAAGAAAGGGAGCATCATGGGAGCTCCTAGACACAAGCTCCTCATCAGTGCTCCCCTGACCATTCACCTATGCCTTCTCCTCTCACTAGGACCACCAAGAGAGCTTTAACAGGAAGAGCACAAATTTAATCTTTCCCAAGACTACAGCATGCTCCCTCCCTCTTCTGAGATAATTGTACCCAAAAGACTTCGTTCCCCTTGCAGAATATCCCCCCCACCCCATGACATGACTTCAGTGCTAAAATAGCAAGGAGATCCCCTGTCCCCAAATTAAAATCAGGGGATTCACACCTGCCTCTTGGCTTTTCCAGACTTACTGGCCCCCTTCTCTACACACCTCTTCTTTGCCTTCCATCCCAGGCACCATCATCTCCTCCTCTTCTTCTTCGTCCTCTTCGGCCTCCTCAGTGTCATCCTCATCTTCCTCATTCTCTGCCTCTTCACTGCTGTAGCCATCCTCTTCCTCACTGCATTCCTGTCAGAGGGATGATCCCAGGCTGCTGAGACTGGCATGACCCCCTGCCCCCCTCCCCCCACTCATACTCAGAACCAAGAGGCCCTGACTGAACATAGGTCCTCAAAACACTGAAATATGCAACTATATGATCATGATGGGAAAATCTGGGGGAGGGGAGAGGGCTAGGATGGGTATAACTGATATCCTGAACTGGGCTCAGCAGTCTCTAGCAGGAAGCCCTGGGGAAGGCCAGGGCTATCAGCCAAAAGCACCTTCCAGACAACATGGCCAAAAAATAAGGTGCCCAGAGAAACAGCCAAATATCCAAAGAAACAACAACCAACTTCTTGTTCCCTCTCTAGGAGACAGATTCTGAAAGGCCAGAACTAGAGCTACTTGTTATAGTATTGACAAAGAAAGAGGTAAGAAGGCTAATGGTACCTGTGTTGGTGGATTCAAGAAAAGCTTGGAATATAGTGGGTCTTGGGAGATGGTGTCAAAATAGGTGAAGGAAGAGTCAAAAGCTATGCAGGGCGACCAAACAGGCCCTCTCTGAAAATTCAGCATCTGTCTGCTCCCACAGGCCCTTACCTCGCTGTCTTCCTCTTCCTCCTCCGCCTCATCTGACTCATCCTCACTGTCCTCAAAGAACTTGGACTTAGCAACTCGAGGCAGTTTGTCGGAGGCTGAAGAGCAGGAAGGCCCAGCCTCACCAGTGGGAGTACCAGGCTCACCACCTTGGCCTGCCTCAGTCCCACGTTCCGAGTTGGAGGAAAGGCCTGTGTGGGCCTTAGGTGTGGGGCCATTTTCCTCTGAAGAAGTTTCCCTAGATGGGTCCTCAGGTCCTGCCTCCCCATTGAGGCCCTGGGACCCTGGTTCCTCGCCTGTCCCAGCTCCAGATTTGCTGTGGGGAGCACCCTTGTGACAGTTCTGCCCATAGCGTGTCAGCAGCTCTTCAATAGTCATGGTAGCCTCTTCATGCAGCAGTGCAGCCTCCTCATTGTCCACTGCAGGGAAGAGGCTAAATCAGCGCCCCCATGCCAGACTCCTCATGGGATCAGTCCCTCTCACTACCTCCACAGCCCTGCAACTTTAGTTTCACTTCCCCACCACCTCCTACTCCTTCCTTTCACTTATCAAGTCTCACAACAACACTGCTTTGCTTCCTTCTCCTCAAGTACCATCTGCCTCTATAGATTTCTTTTGGTCTTTGTCTTTCACCCCCTTCTTAGCCAAAGGAACACTAGTTACTATATTTCCCTTATCACTTCTCATTTTTTATTGCTAAGTTGGAAACCCTATTTTGGCTGAGAACCCAGGAAGCCCACAGTGCTAGTCTAGGCCTATGGCCCAGGCTTAATGACTGGCTGCTGGGGTTAATGACAGCTCCAGTCTAGAAAAAAGGTCGTATAAACATTAATAGGAACCAGAAGGACCCCATCACAATAACAAAGGTAATGTATATACAAATGTTTACAACTATGACACTAGGCACTCAACAAAGGTTAATTCTTTCTCCTCTTCATAACCACATGTAGTGCAGGAGAACATAGGGTTCTTTAATGTAAGGACCCCCCAGGTCCTTAGGAAGTCATCTCCCCTTAGAATTGATACATAAATAATATATATTAAAGAATAGTTCTTTAAAATGCTGAGTTCCTCTCAAACAAGGGATGCCACACTCACCATCATCTTCATCAGCTACTTTTTCTTTTTCATCCTCATCCTCAGTGGGTCGCCCTGCAATCTGTGCCAGCTCCTTAATGACTTCTTCAGTGGTCAGTTTGGCATCGATAGCCAAGAAGGCATCTTCCAAAGCCTGAATATAAGCAAAACAGTATGAGGTAAGTGCAGGAAAAAGTACAGTGGGTCCAAAATGAATTGCCTATATATAATCCTGGGCACAAGAATGGAATGCAAAGTAGAGTGTGGTCCACCATACTAGGAGACATTCATATATAAATTAAAAAACAGTTCACATCTCTGGGAATTAATAAGGCAGCTCTAAAAAGGCCCAAGTGGGAATAAGCTCATTTTAGGAACAGAATTCTTTAAGAAGAAATACAGTAAGAAGCTAGGTGGCAATGAGAACAGAAAAGCCAAGGACTGAAAAACAAGGGAAAGCCTATAGAAGTGAAGGATGAACACTGTGGGGAGACAGACCTTCTGTAGCTTGCCTTCTTTGTAGGCCTTCTGATCTTTGATGAT